TATATTATAATTATCTAATACGATACCTTTTCGTGACGGTTAATAACATGGTAGTAACATCTTTAAATCTCCACAGACACAAATCTAAATCATTTAGGAAGCGGGCTGCATTGGCCCTACCCGTCAGGACCGAAGAGCAATTTACGGAATTATATAACACAGCTCCCCATTTAACGTTACGTTTGAATAGATAGAAACATACTTACGTTGGCCACAATAAAGTAACCATGATTTAGAACTGGTAAAAAGAAAGACAGACAGATATTTGTTTTTGTTTAAGTAGAGGTTTTACGGCGCTCGTAACAGCATAAGGTCATATATGAGCGCCAAGGGGTGGATGTCAACAGAGAAGTCCTTACAGGGAATCAGACTTACTCTCTTCACCTCTCTAGCTTCAACAGCACAAAGTCTGCTTCGACTCTCAGGGCACCCCGGAAATAGTGGGTCACAAGAGTGTGACAAACATACAAAAGAAGTTGAGGAAAAATGACAATAGTAAGGATAAGGAAAGAAAAAGCAGCAGTCCCCTGTTGTAGATCAGAGGCACAGTTATAAGCGTGACATTGATGAATCAGCCCATTTACAATTCAACTGTGCATGAACGAGAAATGTCCCCTCTTTGGGAATGGCCTAAAGACACTTCAGTCAGTAACAGGCAGACAGGAAAGAAGTAGGGCCTGATATTATGACACCCTCCAACCACCACGCACACAGCATCCCAGATGACAAAACGTGAATGTTGGATTCTAACTTCCCAGCAGGGTAACAATCGAATTCTCGTTCGCTGAGAGCAACATTGTGAAACTAACGACTTTTACTTCAAAATAACCAACTTGAGTCCCGCGCGCTCATAGGATTTTAAGCAGTTAATAAAAAAAACTTCACCACACTCTAGCTAATGATGTGCCAAAACTTTGCTGTTAAGCAGGAATTTGCGCTTCATAATTAATGTGGTCTATCTAGAATCTACATTAATAGATCTACTACTATTATCATTATTATTATTATTATTATTATTAC